ACAAAGAATAATCAAAAACACAAATGAAACCTTTACAACACACACTCATGTGAATGAACACATAATTACTTGCAAAATGAATACTCTGACATAATTAGCTCTAACCTACACTGGGATCCCTTGGAAAATTTAAATTATAATCTAAATTTGTGCTATCCTAAATAACATTTCACATGAAATCAAAAATTCAATTTACAATCTCTCGCTTCAAGATATTAATGTAAGAAACAAAATGTGTGCAAGTGGCAACTACTCTAATTTAATTTAACTGTGTCTGAAAATAGCGAAAATAATAAATGTCGCTAAGTAGAATGTTTTTAGGCAGGCAATTAGCGCATCAAAAACGTCTCCTACTATAATTACTGGTAATTTGTTTGCCACCCGTGTCCCAATTCTTGACACTTTCCTATAATAGTTTTCCCGCGACGTGAAAAACTTGACCTATTTTCTGCGATTCCTAACTGTTAAACTCGTAGACTTTCCAATTCTTGGCCTGATGATTGTGGCGCTGGTCGCTGCGGTGACGCCGTTTCGTCGCGCTCTGCGTCGTAAGAGAGAACGGGATTCGCGCTCTGCCGTCTGTGTTTGCTTCTTGCGTCTCTTCCGTCTCCCTCCCAACCGTTCCTCTTCTCCACGTCGCCAAGTCTCCGCCTCTTCTTCTTCCTCCGCTGCTCACCGGCGCCTCTGACTACGCCCTCGTTGCGAAAAAATTTTCCCTTGCACTTCACTGAATCCGCGTGCAAGTTCCTCGCTCGTGCTACTTCTACGTTTTACAAAGCCAGAAGCTTTTAATGTTTCCTTACAACGGGTAATTTTTACTTCCGTGTTTGTTAATTGAACGAAACACTCACTTAATCTGCACTATCTCGCGACGACTAGCTAGAACGTTGTTTCGACGCCGAAACTCCTACCTAGTAGCGTTGCAGCGGCAAACAATATCTAAACTTAATGTTTAACGCAAAGTGTTGACTCGGCGCCACGTGTGCACAAGAGCAGCTGCTTCTCGACGCGTGTGGGCAAAAGAAAAGGAGAGCTTCCCGCTTGCGGGTTCGCGTATTTATGGCGCGGGCGCCTGGGAAAATAACTTCGTGATGGGGGGGGTTGCTTCCCTCTCTCACCCTTCACAAAGAAAACATAGCTCGCTAGTTGCATTCGTTTAGTACGGGCAACGATTACCCAGGCGCGCGTTTAAGTACCTCTGCTTAACGCGTCTGTTTATCCTCGCTGCTTCCGTAGTGTTCACACATGAGACGGTGTGTTATGGGGTTGCACCATCCATACGCCCACAATATATATATATATATATATTATATATATATTATATATATATATATATATATATATATATATTCGCCTTTAGAATCTAAAATAAACTGTTTGTGGTGTTTTAAAATCTTTAATAATTACGGGACACAAATATGATAGTGTTAAGCGACTCAGGGGAATGAAATGTAGTTGTAGAAGACACAATTTTCCGCACTAATTCTTACGATCTTATATTAGAATTAGAGAATAACGCAGAAGAATAGTTTACATAATTCTAACCATTCGCATCATCCATACCTCCAAGTATTGTTTACGGCTGTGGTAATTTTGGAATTGCAATATTACCATAAATCTCGTATGGAGGTAACATACAAGGCCATTGGGTGTTGGGAATTTTTGAACGAAAGTATAACGTTACTACGAGTATAACAGCTACTACGATTCATTGGTATGTCCAGTGCCAGATACAGTAAGAACGTATTTTAACAAAGCAAGACATGTGAGAAATGACGTATGAAAGAAATCTTCAACACATGAAAATACTTTTAGAATATTTTACAGCGTCGGCAACGCCATATTCAACTAGTTTATTGTATTGAAGCTAAGATAGGAATATTTATTCTCTTGACATCTTTGTGGATAAAGCCTCTTCTTTACTACACTTGCAATTTTATTACGTTTATAAATATTATAATATCTATGCATGGCTTGCCAGCCTTTTTTAATTTTTTTCAATTAAAATTGATTTGTGGAAGTGTCTGACTGTGATTGTGTCTCATTGTGAGGTGTCTAACTGTAATATCAACTTTGTGATATTTTTTATGAACCATATCATGCTTATCTCCGTGAAAGCGAATTCAAAGTTGTTTTTTTCTTTTGAATTTTGTCTGTACAGAGTAATCTCTAGAACATCTGTAATCTGTAATCTCTGGAACGAAAGAAACAGTTTTTGATGTGGTTTTCGCCAAAAAGGAAGAGTTTTTGTTGGCCGTAACTTAGGCTACTATTTTAAATTACTATTTTCTCGTTTATAGACAAGAAGCTTTGATTAATTTTTCAACAAATCTTTAGTTTTATTGCAATCATAATGAAATTTCGTTTTCGTAACCTTGACAATATGATAAAAGGTACTGTCTGTACGAGATTTTGTAAACATTGCATCTATTCCCTTTTCCTATCTTTACAACAAAACACAGGCGTGCATTCTTTCCGATTTCCCAAATATCTCGAAGTAAAGGCTAAGTGAATTCACAAAAGAGAAGTAGACACTTCGGAAAGTTCGTAACATTTCCTACTAAATGCATTTTCATTCATTTCAATAGACATTACGTTTGTGTAATCGCAAGTCAAATATGTTTGTGGAAATTTACCGTAAATGTGCAACAATGCATCTGTCTACAGCCGCACGTAGACACGATGATCGTAACAAACATGGCAGGGTGGGAGGGAGAGGGGGAACAAGGTGAGTTACAGTGAAGCAAGAATCCTATAAAATTGCACTTTTGAAAATTTCGAAAAATCTGGAATTTGAATGAACTTGTGTCATGCATCATTCTCTTAACCTTAAGATCTTCTCCCCCATACGTCATATACAGTTTTTACTGTTGTTTGACTAAATAAATATAAATCTAAGAATAATTGACACTACCCGATGACAAAGTTTAAAAAAATAAATGATACCACTTTTGAGAACCTTCTGAAATTGTGTCTGAGGTTTCACGCACAATATCCCTAAAAATCAATAAAATGAATGAATGAAACAACCAAATGAAACAACCAAAGCCATCAGAGCGTTCAGATCGATCTGGTAATATCAATTATGGAGAAAATTGTCTGAACTATTTAGGCGCGAGCATTGACCACAGACGGGCGGAGAGGCAGACGTTTTGCCGTCAATCGATATCTCGGTATCAAGAACCCACAAAACATGGATTTTGGCTATAGTCACACTATTCGCAGTAACAAAGCATCCACATTTTAAGCGACTTGAATATTTTTATGAGGTCTAGGTTTGAAAATAGAGGACATTCTACTCATTTTAGAAATATTACCAACTATATTTTAGAAAGAATACTGCGCGCTATAGTGTTTAAACATTTTTCAAGCAACAACCTTTCCCCTAAAAAAAACTTGAAAGATGTAATTTCATGTGATGGAAATATGTTTGAGTACTTAAGTACTTGAGTAATTTAAGTACTTATTACATTTTATTTTTTTAAATACAAATCATCACATTAGGCCTGCACTTAAATCACCTGCAATGTGTCCGGTGATATTAGAGAACATTTTTTTTAAAACAAGATGTTTTCGCGAAATTTGTACTTGAATGAGATGCAAATAAAAAATATTTTTCTCAAAAAGACTCCACATTTAGTCTTCAATTTTTTACACATGTGTAGCAAAGGACAGTAAAATATGGTGCTGTTCTCATTTTCCGAGAACTCTCTGTAATTTTGAAAATTCCAAAACAACACTATTCGTGATAGAAATTTATTGTTAAATGACTGTTTTGTTCATATAATTTTTCAAAAAATTGGAGAAGTTGAGACTTTTCGAATTTGCAAATATGAATTTCCTCTTTTTCTAGAATTCTTCAAGAGTTATTACATTTTTATTCAACATTGGGAATGACAGGATCACCACTACTCAATAGTTTCAATGACTCCGAATTACATATCAATTTTAGTCGGTGTTACTGAATGTATCTAACACAGTTTTCAACTGTCGAATCTCCGTTGATGTATTAGATCTAAATTTTAGGCGTAATGCGATGATTGGTAAAGAGTTGTACAAGGGATATCTGAAATAAGTTCACATGAACAGACATTGCAATATTATAATTTTACGTAATTGTTACTGAAGCGAGAAAGTACGTGCTGTTACAGTGCACCACGTTTTTTAAGGGCAAACTGATACTGGTTTCAAACACTCCTGTCTCGGTGCGCAGAGTAACTAGCTTGGGCCCAATAACGTTAAGCAATAGAGTGACAGGGCGCCCCATTCCCCCTGTTGGCTAGTTGCGCTGTGCTCCGCAGGTGATGGGCGGCAGCACCGTCACCAACGCCATGATGTACGTGCGCGGCCACCCCGCCGACTACGACGAGTGGGAGCGCCTGGGCAACGCCGGCTGGGGCTACCGCCACGTGCTCCCGTACTTCCGCAAGTCGGAGAACGTGCAGATCCCGGAGCTCCGCAGCAGCCCTTTCCACGGCACGGAGGGCCCGCTGCCCGTCAGCTACTCGCCCTTCGCCTCGCGCCTCAGCGACCTCTTCCTGGAGGCGGCCCGCGAGAAGGGCATCCCGCAGGTGCTTTGCAAGCTCCATTAGAGGTCATTTGGTTGCGTTTAAGCACATTTACTCTTTGACTTTGGAGGCAGCCTAGGACACGTGCGTCCCGCAGGTAGGGGAGCACTCACGCAGTTGCCTTTTCAGGCTCCAGTGGGCAACACTTGATTAAGGTTAAGCACCATTACTCTTTGACTTTGGAGGCGGCCCGGGAGAATGGCATCTCGCAGGTAGGGAAGTACTCATGGAGGTGCTTTTGCAGGCTCCAGTGGGCAACACTTGATTAAGTTTAAGCACATTTATTCTTTGTGTATGGAGACGGGCCAGGAGAAGGGCATAACGCAGGTAGGGAAGCCGTCACGCAGTTGCCTTCGCAGGCTCCGTTGGGCAACACTTGAGGATTAAGTCGCAGGATGTGTGCCTCAGGTGGACTACAACGGGCAGTCGCAGATGGGCGTGTCGCGCATCCAGACGACCACGTGGCGCGGCGAGCGCTGGAGCACCAACCGCGCCTTCCTCTTCCCCACCAAGCGCCGGCGCAACCTGTTCGTGCGCAAGCGCGCGCTCGTCACGCGCGTGCTGCTGGACGCGGCCGCCAGGCGCGCTGTGGGCGTGCGCTACGAGCGCGACGGCGTCAGCCACGTGGCCACGGCCAGAAGGGAGGTGGTGCTGTGCGCAGGCGCCATCAACACCCCGCAGCTTCTGATGCTCTCTGGCGTCGGCCCCAGCCACCACTTGCGGGAACTCGGAATCCGCGTGCGGAAGGACCTCCCGGTCGGCCAGAACCTCGTCGATCACTCTTTTTTCGTGGGGCTTCCGGTTGTTTTTAATCAGTCAGTTGCTCCTAGTGCTAGCGAGGTATTCAACGACCCTGAAAATTATATTGATTATATTACGAATAGACAGGGACCTTTATCGAATATAGGATCTCTGGAAATGATTTACTTTTTCCAAGCCGGACAACCAGTTTTTGATTCGGCTCCCAACATGGAAATGCTATTTTTGGAATTCCCGCCTACGGTGAATTTTGCAAATAGTAACGTGAATATTTATCAAAACTTAACTGGAAAACACACTTATCTTCCTGTTCTCGTACTTCTCCGGCCTGCAAGCAAAGGAAACGTCACTCTTGCCTCGACGGATATTCACGATCAACCGAAGATCTTCCCTAACTATTTCGGCGAGGAAGAGGATGTTAAGAATGCTGTGGAAGGGTTGAAGAAAATGTTGGAGCTATTCCAAACTCAGGCGTTCCAGAAAGTGGGCACCAAGTTGTTTGACGAGAAGCTGCCATCGTGTGAGAGCTACGAATTCGCCACTGATGAGTATTGGGCGTGTGCTCTAAAACGATTCTCGCTCACCATTTACCACCCTTGTTGCACGTGCCGCATGGGTCCTAAGAAAGACCCGTCTTCAGTGGTGGATCCTGATCTTCGGGTTAAAGGAATAAACAACCTGAGAGTAGTAGATGCTTCTGTCTTCCCTACCATGGTCTCTGGACATTTGGAAGCACCGACACTAATGGTTGCAGAAAAAGCTGCAGACATAATTCTGAATTCTGCATCGAAAGGAATAAAAAAACCGAAATAAATTGAATTGTAAGACATAACTACGAAGAAAGTACCACATTTTTATTGTATTCCAATTTCCAAGTATCAAATCCTGTCGAGCGAAAGTTCCAAATTTCCGAGAAATTTCCAAATTGTTGCGTATTAGAGAGATGTTACCAGAGAAATTCAGAAAAAGCCAGCGTTACAGTGATATCCAATAAGTATAATAGCAATGCAAACGCAGGATAAAATGCACTCTGAAATCAAAATAGTTCTAAATGCCACGCAATATTACTTGCTCTCGGTCGTGGCCAGAGTCCCTGGATACAGAGTTAGCGCATCCGTCGCCATTTTATATCATCTCACCCGATCGCCCCACCAGGTAACAGGAGCTCGAGGAAAATTGAAACAATTGGTGACATTTAGGAGGTTTTGAAGAACATTTCTATTGGTTTGGGATAGATTCATGGATCTCAACATACAGAATACAATGGCGGGATTGGCGGAACTTTGGAATGCGCTACTCTGTATGTAGGAGCTGGGGGAGGGGACTAGGGGATTGGGGGACTAGGGGACTAGGAACTCTGGCGGTGGGAACGAGCACTCTCTCGGGAGTGAAGCCGTGAACCAGTCCTCGTCACGACGCGGTAGAAGCCGGACGAGGCCGTGGCTACAATTGTGGCTTCACCACTATTATGTGTAATCTGGTAACAAAAATCGAAATTAATGGACCTATTAGAAAATTGTAACAAAAATAAGGTGGTATCTAAGGTAAGATAATGTAAATATCTAATGGTGATATTTTAAAATTTCAGTCTTGTCAGTGCAAGCAGGGGAGATCCTAAGAAAACACTAGAGAATTCTGCAGTTGAAAATCTTTGTATTCGATACATTCCTCATAACACCAGTTTTTGCATAGATACTTATTATAACTCCTTACCTTACTTGAAACATTGACTTCAGACAGTTAAATGTGAGAAATGACCATTTAGAGACGGCTTTCTTATGATTAAGTTCCTTCTTCAGATTTAATAAGGAACCCAGATGTGCGGTTTTATCTTTATTTTTACTGCTTGTAGAATAGCAATAATTGTGTAAAAACCACTAAAAATATATAAAACACAATAATTTAATTTCTGTTTTAAATCTAATGTCAAGAATTATATTTTTCACTCTCCAGCAACTGAAAGGTCTTTCATTTAAAACTCAACAACTCTACCCCTTACTTCCCACTGTGTGTTGTATCGAATAGAGAGTATATCGAACGCGAAAACTTGTCACCAATTCCACCCCTTACTTCCCACAGTATGATATATCATACGTGAAATATGTCAATGAATTTGAACTCGCATTCAAAAAGGAATGTACAAAATGTCGTTAATACTCCTTCAGTAAGACTCCTGAAAAAATGTATTTAAAATCCAATAACACTTTTAATTAAGAGATGTAATGGGTTAATTGCAATTACTGCTTACGTAATGAATGAAATTCACACTAAGCGTTTAATTTATTAACAGTTATATCTAACAGAATTTAGATATAATATTCATAAAACACAATGAGGGGTAATATCTTAAATCTGCACCTTTTTCCTTTACAAATAGTTTTTTTGGAGGGATCAGTGAAGAAATGATTTTCAATTACATACTCGTATGTTATGACTTAAAATCGACAAAAGAATACTCAACCTTTGTTAAACCAATGTCATTTATTGCAAAACTAATGGTGCTAAGATTTGCCATTTATAATTACATAATATTATGTCGCAATTTATGTCCAAATTAACACATCTTAGTGATCATTTATAAAACATATTGTAAATTGTAGAACATTAGATGTGTAACCGAATTCATTTGCAGCTAATATATCAACACAAATTCGTTAATGAAAATTGCAATCCATGCAGCTAAAAAATCTTCCAGTTAATGGTGCTATGACAGTTCGTAAATTATTTCACTTTTCAAAACTTCCGAGATCCCTGCGAAAATGAGACATGCACCATATTTTAATCGTCCCTTGACTACCGTGAAAACATTTAAAGAAAAAATTTGAGCACTTTTTGACAAAATAGATTCTTGATAATTTGCATTAATTTGAAGCAGAAATTACACGAAAACCACTCATTTTGTCAAAAACATCTGCTTCCCCTGTTTTAATGATTTGATTTTTAGAACTGATTTGATTCCAAACAAAAATCTCTAATTCTAACAGTGTAGTTTCGAAATGTTAACTTTTTGCAATTTTTATAATAAGAGACTTTGCCGAAAATAAGTAGTAAAGGAGTCATCTTTTACCCTTGATACATACGAGGAGAAATTTAAATAAATCGAAGCCGAGTTTAAGAAAATATTTATTTTTAAAAAAGTAAAAGAAACACCCATATTTCTCGCCAAATTACGAGAAAACTACTCGTATTTTCTCAAAATTGTACATGATCTTATTTCATTACCTGTCTTTGATACACAGATATCGATAAGGAGAAAAGCTTCAACACTGTAATTGTAAAATGATACATTAGCCAGAATATTAATTTTGGTGAAATTTGCCTTATAGTTTAGCAGCTAGCATTGTTCAGACAGTCAAAGGGACACATCGGCAAACAGTCCTTTTTCCTTAAACCAATTTTTCGTTATCAAGAACCCACAAAACCTAAATTTTGACGAAACAACGTGTTAGATGTAGTAATTTACTACATGTGGGAACAAGAATTATCCCATTCTACTGTGGACACCGCACGAGTAGGTTGTGCAGTGTGTCTAGTATTTACGAAACACGAGTGACTAACAACGTGGTCTTACAATACGATCACGTGGTCTTACAATACGATCACGTGGTCTTACAATGCGAGTGAGTTTCTAATACCGTAACTTAAAGACTATGTCACGTTGATATTTTGCGTTCAACTGCAGTTGCAGCTGTTTTTTCCATAACATATGGGGTTAATCTGATTACAGGAGAAACATAACCCCGAACTGTACGGACCCACAGTAATATATGTAAGTGCAGAAATCCCATACAAGTGCTACCTTATCGGAGTTCTTTCCATCTAAAGAGCAAACAGTTGTAATTGAAGCTCAAGAAGAGCGTTTGTTTAAATATTATAACAGCAATGTCGCCTCTGTTGTTGACGCTAATGATATTAGATTTGTCTCACGCATATCTAACAATCGAATGTTTTCCGAACCGAATAAACAAGTTTCTCTATAGTCTAGTCATTTCTTGTCAATTCACTAATAAAAACAAAACAATTGTCTTAATGAATCATGTACTCAGTGTTATACCTATCATTAACAATCTCAAAATTGAAATAATATTCAATGTATGCCTAATCCTTCCATATGAAATAATTGAAAAGGAGTTAATTATATGGAAAATCAGTACGTATTCCAAGAGTTCGCTTATAATAGCAGAAATATCTGAATCAGGATTTTCGCGCTTCATGTGTTTCAGAAGACAACTGTACTTTTAAACTGAAGTTCTAAAGAAATTACTGGAGTCAACTGTTGTTTATTTTGAAAATACTTCATACCGTGTAGTATACGTTTCTACTGATATCATGACTGTTTTCATCACATGATCACATGACCACATGACCACGCGAGGACATGTGGCTCAGCAGTTTCTCAACACCTGGTGGAAATGATGACATGCAAATTGGAGATATTCAGTAACATAACCTTAATTTATCTTTTGTGACAAATTCTAAACATGGAGTTGGCTTCATTAATAAATAAATGCCACTATCCACTGATCTGCATATTGACTCAAACGACCTCCACTACGTGATTCATCTACTCGAATTGAAGAATCTAATCACTTCAAAAGATTGAATACAATCATAGGAAGCAAGCTAAAAAGAAAATGGGTCAAATAAATAAAGATAATTTAGCATAACAACCAAACCCTATCAAATCAGTCGAGGAAATAAACCTGGTTAACTAGAAAACAGATTTTAAAATATTATTGAAAATAATAAAAATAAATACCTATTATCTTACCATCAATTTGACAATTATGTGTAGAAACAAAAGCTACTGCCCTTCCACGTGATGACACAGAGAACACTTCAAGCGATTAATTCTTTACAACCTATAATAAGTACGTTTGTTTTTCAATGGAATGTAAATGTATTGAGTACTAAATATGAAAGAATTCGCCAGCAGTGCCGTCCAGAGATTATATGTTTACAGGAAAGTAACTTCAAACTCAACAAAAAGGGAAAATTAATGTTTCAATAAAAATATAACTAATAGCCATTACAGATTTAGTGGAGTAGCTACATTTGCCAAATAATTATCTTCTGCCACTAAATTATACACCAGCTCTGAATTGAAAGTTGTCACATTCAAATCCCGGCCCTAATTACACAAATTATTTGTAATATATTTCCAACAGAAATGCATTCGATTTTATTGAAAGTTTTAATATTGTTGAACGCACTGTGAAAATATTCGTTACAAAATTGACTGGTAATCAAAATTTTGAATAAATTTACAGTTTCTTTGTATTCTTTATCTTCGTTCGTGTGTAAGTGATAAATTTATTTGCATAACATTGGTAATACTAGTATCTTCTGATAGGAAACGGCTATGAGTACGTTCACCTTCAAAATATAGAAAAACTACTTAAGTTTACATGCAAATTAAGTTGGAAAGGCAGTGCTATCTATCTAGTGTTGTTTCACAATTTATATCTCCTTCACTCATGTTACTCATACCTCGGGAAAAAAAGGTGAAAAGTGTGCCAAGGACGGTGATAAATGAAATGGACTAATCAGAACAACCATCCATAGTAAATGATGATTTGAAAGTTAACATATTTTTTTAATTGCTAGCAACTCCATGTGGAGTTGGGTGTGGAGGCTTGAAATGAGACGTTACCTGTATGATTGTTAGTAATGTGTGTACTTCCTATATATTTTTGGTGTTTTATTTATCCTACTTTATAATTTTAAATTTTAATTTTTTGTTTTATTTATGTTAATTATCTAACAATAAATTTATTGTAATTATGTTGTCCTCATGCACTGTTCATTGTTTACACTGTAGCCCTGATGAAAAAATTATATATTTCGAAACGTTAGCTTAACTAATTGTTTCTCTAAACACATTGACCAATTCCGTGGACCGTTTTTAATTCTTTATTCTTCAATGGCCGTGATTATACAATGGCATAATTATTAATTTACTTTTAGTATTATACAATTTAGTAAAATATAAAGACTCCTCTTAATTTGCGATGTGAGTTTGATAACAATTTACCCAATGTGGCGTGAAACAATTTAGAATTTTCACGTTGTGTAATGAAGTTTTTCAATACATCTAACACATTTACGTTCTTGAGTACAATTTTCTTGAGTCCGATTATTTTGTTGACTATTGTTACATTGTATGAGATTATTTAATTTACTTCTAGGTTTGATTTTAATAATACTGTTGAACTATCTATAAAATTGTATTTCCTGCGGTGATCTGTGTAAATTAATGGTCCACATTTCTAGTACTACTCCTTTTTATCATACAATTTGTAATAATAATGTTTTAATTATTTTTTTGGAAGATATTTTAATTTCTTCATTCGAAAATGATTCAGGACATCATAAATAATACCGCGCATTGTTTTGTTTGTTGGATCACTGTAAGTTCAATACTGAATTTTATTAAAATCACAATGATATCTAGTATAACTTCTGTTATTTTCTTGGTAGTAGTTGGGAAGAACTTTGTCCCTAACCCTGACCTTAGTAGTTAACGCGCCCGATATCACTAATCATTCCACGATATTTCGAAGAATTAGTCATATACAATACGAGTGGTAAAAGTAACGTTTCATTTTGCGAGTAGGAAATGTTGTGACATGAGGTAGGTAGGAACGAACAAAATAAAATCATTTTTACCACGTGTGTCGCACAGTATTTTATGAAGCCTTACTGACATTTATTTTATTCAAGCATACAAATAATTATTTACGTTAATGCCAGTAGTAGCTGACACGATCAGACAAAGGTATATTATTTCCTTTCTTGTAACCACATTTTATCTACACATTTGAGTATAGTTTTACGTTTAAAACTACAGCTATAAATTGAACTTTTAGCACGCTTTTCAGCCTCTAAAAGTAATCGCTTGTAGTAGGGGCTATCTAAAATAGTTCTAATTGGTATCGCCTTGGTATCGCGAAAGTTGATAAATCCTGTTCCTACATGTTCCAAATTTCTTCCTAGCATATGCGTGTGCTTTGGGTAATCAGTAATCAGAAGGAGGGAGGTAAGCATTGTGTTATCATAATCCACTTTTTGTGTATCCTTGATAACAAAGAATTAATGAAGGCAAAAAGTTTGTGTGTGTGTGTCAGACGAAATTCCCAAAATTAATATTTCCGATCGATCTAAACAAACTTAAGGGCTCAGGGGAATTTCAAATAGATATTTTGTGTTTCGTGAATTCTTTACATGAAACATCAAGGCCATTTTCAAAAAGACGTCAACTATCAACATATAATTGCTTTTCTAAAATGTTTTATTTAACTACTCATAAATACTTATAATATTAGTAAATCGAATAACATGGTAGTGTATTTCATGTTAAAATGTTATTTAGGAATCTAGGAAAGTGATTGATTTGGGGTGTGTTCCATTTCATATAATCATATATGCTTGACTTGTTTACTTTCTTCTTAATCGCTCATGGTAACTGCGCGAGTGATCTATACAGTTTACAGTTAATCTAAAACTAGACCAATGTAATTCCAGTTTTTGTCAGGATAGACCGATATAATTTATTTGTGTTCTCTTCGCTTCAATGGGAATTCAAAATCATTTCTGCCGCTTTTTCTGCAACCATTTGCGCTGGTGCTTGCAAATGCCCAGAGACCATAGTAGGGAAGACCGAAGCATCCGCCACTCTCAGGTTGAATATTCCTTTCACCCGCAGATCAGGATCCACCACAGAAGAGACGTCGTCCTTGGGCCCCATGCGACAAGTGCAGCACGGGTGGAAGGACGTAAGCGAGAACCGTTTTAGAACGCACGCCCAATAGTCATCAGAGGCAAATTCGTGGTTCTCACACGTTGGCAGCTTCTCGTCAAACAACTTGGTGCCCACTTTCTGGAACGCCTGAGTTTGGAACAGCTCCAACATTTTCTTCAACCCTTCCACAGCATTCTTAACATCCTCTTCTTCGCCGAAGAAGTTGGGAAAGATTTTCGGTTGAACGTGAATATCCGTCGAGGCAAGAGTGACGTTTCCTTTGCTTGCAGGCCGGAGAGGTACGAGAACAGGAAGAGAGGAGTGTTTTCCAGTTAAGTTTTGATAAATATTCACATTAGAATTGTCATAATTTACAACTGGCGGATAGTCAAACATATACATTTCCATATTGGGTGCCGAATCAAATATTGGCCGGCCTGCTTGAAAATAATACACCATTTCTAAGAATTCTATATTAGACAGTGGCCCCTGTCTCTTCGAGAAATAATCGACATAATTTTCAAGCTCATGAAATACATTTTCGCTCGGAGCCACCGACTCGTTGAAAAGCAACGCGAGTCCAAAAAACATGGTGTGGTCGACGAGGTTCTGGCCGACCGGGAGGTCCTTCCGCACGGGGATGCCCATGTCTCGCAAGTGGTGGCTGGGGCCGACGCCAGAGAGCATCAGAAGCTGCGGGGTGTTGATAGCGCCTGCGCACAGCACCACCTCCCTTCTGGCCGTGGCCACGTGACTGGCGCCGTCGCGCTCGTAGCGCACGCCCACAGCGCGCCTGGCGGCCGCGTCCAGCAGCACGCGCGTGACGAGCGCGCGCTTGCGCACGAACAGGTTGCGCCGGCGCTTGGTGGGGAAGAGGAAGGCGCGGTTGGTGCTCCAGCGCTCGCCGCGCCACGTGGTCGTCTGGATGCGCGACACGCCCATCTGCGACTGCCCGTTGTAGTCCACCTGAGGCACACATCCTGCGACTTAATCCTCAAGTGTTGCCCAACGGAGCCTGCAAAGGCAACTGCGTGAGGTTTCCATACTTGCGGAATGCCAAAGTCAAAGAGTAAATGTGCTTAAACTTAATCAAGTGTTGTCCAACGGAGCCTGAAAAGTCAACTGCGTGACGGCTTCCCTACCTGTTTTATGCCCATCTACTGGCCCGCCTCCAAACACAATGACTAAATGTGCTTAAACTTAATCAAGTGTAGCCCAGTGGAGTCTGCAAAAGCACCTCCATGAGTACTTCCCTACCTGCGAAATGCCATTCTCCCGGGCCGCCTCCAAAGTCAAAGAGTAACGATCCTTCAACGTAATAAGTGTTGTCCAACGGAGCCTGAAAAGGCAACTGCGTGGGGGCTTCCCTACCTGCGGGATGCACATGTCCTAGGCTGCCTCCAAAGGCAAAGAGTAAATATGCTTAAACGCAACCAAATGACCTCCAATGGAGCTTGCAAAGCACCTGCGGGATGCCCTTCTCCCGGGCCGCCTCCAGGAAGAGGTCGCTGAGGCGCGAGGCGAAGGGCGAGTAGCTGACGGGCAGCGGGCCCTCCGTGCCGTGGAAAGGGCTGCTGCGAAGCTCCGGGATCTGCACGTTCTCCGACTTGCGGAAGTACGGGAGCACGTGGCGGTAGCCCCAGCCGGCGTTGCCCAGGCGCTCCCACTCGTCGTAGTCGGCGGGGTGGCCGCGCACGTACATCATGGCGTTGGTGACGGTGCTGCCGCCCATCACCTGCGGAGCACAGCGCAACTAGCCAACGGGGGAATGGGGCGCCTTCTCACTCTATTGCTTAACGTCGTCATTGGGCCCAAGTCAGCTACCCTGGCACACCAGACGCGTGTATCCTAAACCATATTCTGAATGTCACCTACGTGGTGCTCTGGTTGTGAGTAATGGTAGGATGAAAAACCCTTCGCTGCAGCACACGCGCACACACACACACACACACACACACACACACACACACACACACACACACACACACACACATACATACATACATACATACATACATACATACACACACACAAAAGCAACTAGTCGGGTCATAGAATGGTCCAGATTTGTCATACTACTTAGTTTCCACTTTTGCCAAAATTGCTTTTCGGTTTTGTCTCACCATGCTTCCGGTACCTGTCATCTATTGACGCTTCCAAGACATTTTTTCGCATTCTCTCAATTTTTGGGTACTCTAATTCTAGAATTTAAATACAACTTCAGAAATGTTATATAATAAAAAAATTCAAATTTCTATTAAAATTTTTGGACCCGTTTTTGCAAGAATGTCGTTTGTCCTTGTTAGAAATTGATTAATTTGAGCTTAATTTCACAGAAAAGGTTTGAGTTTTTGAGAAATTTCTTAAGGTAACATTTGGAGCTCTTGTACTCACAAATGCAATAAGTATAAAAATTCCCGAATTACAAATATTAACATGTAAAATATTTCAAAAAAACTACATTATTGTAAATTTTGAAAAATCAAAAAATATATCAAAATAAGGTTGGAGTCGTGTCGTCGAGTGTATTTAGCAATAAGCGGAATAAAATAATATAAAGAAAAATTTCAATCGGTTTTTGATATTCTTGTAAAATATCCTAATATTTCACACATTTTACTACAAATTACACGACATATACCAATATTTTTTTTAAATGCACATTACATTAGTTAAGGAACTAACACGATTCGAAATAATGCATTTGAAGTGTAGTTACAATGTTGGGAAAGGATTTTGGAGCTCATGAAAACGTGTTCAGATAAAACGTTACATACAGTTTTTACATTAACTGTCCTTACTATACTTTGACTAAACAAATGAAATCAAATGGTAATCAATGAAACCGCAAGAAAATTCAAAATAACACGATAAAATTATTATTAGATCATCAGAACACAATAATATAATTTGCTCTAAAGAACATGAGTATTCAAGAAATTTTACTGTGTCACGTCGACACGGAAATTACAACACTTTTGACGTCAAATAATGTGTTAAAAGCCTGGCGTCATATCATGCGACAAGGCTAGGATAACCACACGTTGAGTACTATACACGCAAGTTTTCGTGATATTCCACATCGGGGGGAAGAGGGCTCTGGCTACGTCACGGCTTAGAAGGGCGTACCAACTGTGGGCATGATCTTAACACCTCAACGCGTGCCACGAGAAATGCTTCGTTTTGAAAGTGCGAGGTTATTATCGCCAGCATTGTAAATTAGTACGTACCGTTCCGAGTCGAACCTAAGTATCTCAACGTGCCGTACTATTCAGCGCTGATTGAGGACTAGGGTGCTCGTGTATCAAGAAAACTTGCGATAGTAATATTAAGTTATGTGACACGACCCACAACCGACTGTGTGTCAACTACGTCGCCCACATAAGTCGTATCCATTAGCATAGAGAGCCGGTGCGAACAGAGGAAGATTCCGAGTTTTGTGGCAGATTTCGCCCATGTATCCAAGGATTATTGGACGTCAACCCCGTGTTCGGCCAATGCACTGGCGCTCAGAGGATTTCCTTACAGAATGATCCAGTATAACTGACCTCAAATTTTGAAGGCCCTTTTATATCATTTAGTCGGAGATGTTGTTCGTCGGAGTGATTCAGGTGCTATTTCAAATGATATTTTTACTTTCTCGCACTACTTCGTAAGTAATAGGAAAAATTATTGTTATCGTGTAGCGAAAATCGCCGATTTTTCGACAGAACATATCTTACCAGTCCCTGCCTAAACTAGTTTCAACATTTGTTTTTTACTGTGAATTTTTTTTTGTATTGTGCGTGTTATTTGTGCTAAGACGGAATGATAATATACATTTGAGGACCTTCCGGAGAGACAGTTCAGTTGTCATACCTTTATGGAGAACAGTGATATTATTCATGCAGGGAAATCTGTTCCAGAACTTCCTAGTTTCAAAAATATGCATAAAGAAAAGGGAAGAGAATATTTCGCCTATTTTAATATTTATAAAAATTCACAATATTATATTAATTCGCTTTTCGATCAAAATGCATTTGAATCGTACAATTCAATGTTCCAGGCTCTTAACTTGGTTGCATTTGAAACAAGTTATGATATTTTAAATTAATCTCACTAAAAAAGTTAATTGACAGTACTGTACTCAGTATATGTATTTCACGTAAAATTTCCGCATGATTTAGGGAAACGTGTGAAATAAAATCATCTCCATTAAATGATTGTACAGGTTTCAAACATTGCATGTTTTACCTACACCAAGTACATCAGAGTCGACTGAAAGGTCATGCCCTGCCCTCAAAAGAATGGACGGCTAAATTTAGAGGAGAAAATCATAGTACAGTACGACGAGTAATGTCGCCTCTTTCATCCACTTTATATCTCTGAATTACTTTTCCCTTTCGCTCCTGACAGCATAGGCGTAATTTAGGGAGAGTTCGAGGTGCTTCCCCCAAATCTCTATCGAGGTTTTACAATAAAGTAAAATATTTATTAATATAAGAAACAGATTTTAACATTTTGTGTAGCTATTGAATAATTATATAATGAAGAATAATAATATAAATGGGTTTTCCTAAACATTCCACTAAGTGCTTGATGTTAGTGCAGTAAGTGGTGCACCGGCGAGAGCAGTGCTGTTTGCTTCCTAAAGTCTGTTTCCTCCCGTGGGCGTCGACAGTTCGGCTCCGATTGTCCCTCTCGAAATAAAACGCTCATCACATCCCAAAAAACAGAAACTTCGTTTTGATGTAAGGAGCATTTGGAATGCCTACGACTGATAAGTGACTGTTGGTTCTGAGAATTTTATGCGGGATTTTATAGGGTCTGCTTTCCTCAAATTACGCAATAATAATAATAATAATAATAATAATAATAATAATAATAATAATAATAATAACGTACATTGATAGAA